GCTACCCAGATAGTTGAAAGTGGTGCAGCCCTTACCCAGGATGTACCTGGGGACTCAGGATGGTGACATGCAATAACATAGTATGGGGGCACTTCATGTGTGGGGTCCTTGGATGTTAGCATGCATGTGTGTGTGTGTTTGTGTGTGTGTGTGTGTGTGTAGGACAGGGGACAAGGCTGCCTTTGTGTACTGTGGCTTCAGCCTTGGAAAGCAGAAATTCATCACTTAATGGAGAGGAGACCTTTCTGCATAAAGCCCCGCAGTAATGGCTCATCCTACAGGCTTTCAAAGGACTCTATGAATTAGGCTTTCCTCATACTGCTCTGTGCTTGGCTGAACTTGACTCTAATTATCCTCACTGGGATGGAGTGACTTAAGTTTTGTGTGAAAAACAAAGTTCTCATCACAAGCTGAGAAAGACCTGCAATCCTTAGACAGCCTTTCTTGCAAGGTTACTGTGGGTGGTTCTAGTGGATCTCTGAACATGGGGGCAGTCTTGGGGACCCGTGATGCTGTCCTCCAGGACAAGTGATTCCTTCCACAATCTAGTGAGCTTTGGAGCTGACAGTGGCAGTGGCTTGGTCTGGCCCCAGCAACTTGCTGGCTGGCAGAGGACTTGGAAATGAGCTGGTTGGCTTGTGCTGTGATCAGTTAAGTCAGCTTCTGTGGGCACTGTCCCTCTTGAAATGATAAGACATCTTAGCTTTAAAAAGCTGGTGCCACAGCAGGATTTTTTTCAATTCTTATTATTAAGAGGAACACTAGGTGGTTTTAGTTTGCTAATTCCCATGGACCTAATGGAAGCTGTTTAATCAGAAAAGCTACATTTTGATACCCTCCTTTTTACTGGTTGCCCCATGAGAGCTCCTGGGGTGCCTCTAGGTGATTTGCTTTGCACCTTTTTCATTTGTAAACCTTATTAAACTGGATCCAGCTGAGCCTTTGTTTTCTGTGTGCACATTGGGACCAATTTCTACGTGAAGATGGTTTCACCGAGACATATCCATGGCACGTGGCAGATGCAGCCGCTTCCTAAGTCAGGCAGTGAGCCCCTTGGAAATCAGCTTAGCTCTGAGAACCTCCCGGTGTGTTGAGGACTGGAAGAGTTTAGAAATGCCAATGTCATTAAAGAGCTGTGTGAGTAGGTGACAAACTGCTGATGGTGAGGGCCCCAGAGCCCAGACATCTGCCTTGGTTCTTTCCATTGGCTTGGAGGTGGGCAGACTCCTCCCTCCCTTGGGCTTAGTGGAAGCTCGGTTCATAAGCAGATTTAGGCTGTATCTGAGAGCAGAGTAATGAACGAGAATCCAGGATCCAAGATGCATGGGGCTGTGGTTCACAAGGATGGTGGACACAGAGACGTACCCTGGCTCTTCTCTTTTCAGTGCTCCTGGAAAATGTTCTGATCTCTTCTGTCATGGTTTGGTCTGTTATTTGGAACCACAGAATGGGGTACCCAACTAACTTATCCTAAGGGAACCTTTCAGGGCATTCCCCATCCACCCACAGGGTATTAACAGTCATCTTCCCAAGTTTATGTCCACCTGGAAGCTCAGATATGACTTTATTTGGAAACAGAGGTTCTACAGGCCTAAGTATTTCATTATCTGTGACAATACCATCCTTGCTTTAGTATGGTTTTTAATCCAGTCACTGGTGCTCCAATAAAAGGAGAGAAGACACAGGGACACAGGGAACAGAAGTTCTTGTGGCCATGGAAGCAGAGGCTGTAGTGATGCTGGGACCTGCCAAGGAGCTACCTGAGCCCCCAGAAGCTGGAGAAGGCTCATTAAAGAGAGTTCCAAGGCATAATCCCCAGATCAGTTCATTTGGATTCCCATTTCCCTTTGACTTGCTCAGCTGAGTTATTTTTTCTTGCCTGTGGGTGAAAATGGCAGATCCATACCTTTGGATTAAAAACGCTCTTGGTCTAATAACCAATCCCGTGTGCATCCCAACTCCCAATTCCAAGGACAAGTTCTTCCCCTCCCCAGTAGAGCTTCTGTGGGAGACATGGTCATGGCCTCCAGTCCTCTTGTCCACGACATTAGCTTCCATGTTCCCTACAGTCACCTGCTACTGAAGGTTCTGAGTCTGCAGACCAGACACAGGGAGACAAAGACATGGGAAGAGCTAGGAGAGACCAGGCAGGCGTGGTGGGCACAGTGTCAGCAGGCACCCAGGTGCTCTCTGGAGGCAGGTATTTCATAGGGTGCTTACTTGTGTCCTTGGTTTTTGTGGCCACTTTGTAAGTCCTCCATGTGGTCTGATACCTTCTCTGAACAGCAACAGGTATTTATATTAGTCTTTTGGCCAAAATTTCAGTTTAAATTTCTAGTTAACTTCTAGTAAAACTGCCTGCAGAGTGCCTGGCACACATAGGCACCTGGCAACTGGGACATGTTGGCTGTGTTACCATTTGTTGTTACCATGAGTTGGAGAATCTTCTGGTGGTAGAGACCTGGGTCACAGATGCCCAAACCTCCACTGAGAGCTATGGTATGCTTTTCAAGGCTAACCATGACCTAACATCCTCAGGTGGGCTCTCGTTCAGACAGGGGGGTCCTTAGTGTTTGGGAGCTCATGAGCTGTTGTTCTGGTCACAGAACTTGAGTTGTACAGGTGGGAGGACAGGGTGGGAGAAGCCAAGCTTACAAAATCCTCCGGAGAATGAATCACAATGTGGTCTATTTCCAGTGGAACAGGTGACGGTGACATTCAGAGTAAGGTAGGAATGCTGGCCAGTGTCACCGTATATCCACTGTGGTCAGCAGTGTCCCCAGCCAGGGACTTCTTTGGTTTGGTCAAGACCAAAGGGGCAAGAACCTTTCATAGCCTGGGGAATGGGGTCATGCAGGGGCAAGGACTGAGTCTGCCTCTGAGGCTCCTGGCCCAACTGGCCCCGTGTGGCCCCATGGTGGTTCATCTGGCTGTGTGTGTCCTGCCTCTCAGGTCTCCCGCTCGCTGCTTTTGGTTCTGGAACAGGTTCTGGTGCTGCTCATTGTGGGATTTTCCCATGGCATTGCTCTGGCCTTTAGTCTCCCCTGCTTGCCTCATTGGTTCCGGAAATTCTCTCACTTAAGGACTGAAGTGCAGAGAGGTCAATCAGCATCTGGAAGCTTTCCAGGCTGGCGGTGGCCTGTGCTGTTGCTGGCCTCCTGGCCCACGATGAAAACTGCCTCTGAAACCATGTCAAGGGACCAAGGCTGTCTTACATTTTCATACCCCGTAGACCTCTCTTGTTTGATTGCGTCCCAAATTCCACCAGCCTCCTGAAGATAGCCTTTGAGGGAGCCTCCTGCTCTTGCCTCAGAGGAGAGCCCTCCATCTTTCAGGGGCCTCCATGCGCTTGTTTAGAGCTAGACCTGGAGCAATCACTGGAAGGCCATGCCAGGCAACTTCCCCATGATGTGAGGGCAGCAGAGCCCACACCCCAAGTGAGCACCAAGGCCAGCACAGCAGAGGGGCAGTGACAAAAGCCAGTGGCCTCCAGGTTAGGACCTGGCCAGGGACAAACAGCACGTTGGCACATAGAACAGAGTCATTTTAATGGCACTCAAGAAGCTGCATTGGGATAGAACATTCCAGTACCCAAATGTGGGCAAGGAGGCATGTGGGGTTTAGTGGGAGGTGTGCTCTAGGCCAGGGCACAGATCAGATGGGAGACAGAGCATCCTGGGCCACAGAGCACTCCATCTGGCTGGGGTTTTCATGCCAAGCCCTGAAAGTCACTTTTCCTTTTCCTCTGTCCTTGTTCCTGCTGGGCACTTCCTGCAGGGTTGGGGCAGAGGCTCTGCACATGGCACAGCCCTGAAGTAGTCTGCTTCTACTCAATTTGTTGGCACATTGTTTCCAGTTCTTAAAACTGGATTTAGTATCTGGGGTTGCCTGGCAGGAGAGACTGAAAGTTCTTGACGTTAGACAAGCCTGGTATTTCAGGCAGGTCCTTCTTCCATTCCCATCTGATCGTGGTGGTCTAGAAAGACCACTAGGTGACCTCCCTGCTGTGAAGTCCACATTTTCTGTTCCTGGGGCCTGGTTTCCACTTTTGACTTTCAGGACTGACCCCTTAAGTTTGTTTCATGGCCTCTGTCCATGGAAACACCTTGAAGTGAGCCACCTTTGGCAAGGACCATTTTCTCTGAAGGCAGGAGTGGCACACCGCTCCCCTAGTTTGTCACAGCTTTGGGGAATCTTGATCAGACACTGGAGATTCCTGAAAACTTGAAAAGGTGAAAAGGTGTGTATTAATTTTCTACTCCTGCTGTTAAAAAAAAACATGTATTTTTTATGGTTGGAAGATAGGATTCTGGCATGTCTCATTAGGTTAAAATCAAGGTATAGAAAGAGCCATGGTCACTGTTACAGGGCAGGCTCCTATCCACCCTCCAGTCCTATGTGGAGATATGACTTGTATGTTCTCTGAGCAGTTGAGATCAGGAAGGCTGCGTGGGCAGCAAGTGTGTGGTGCCCTGGCCATGGGCATGCATCTTCTGTGGTGAGCAAGGGTCTTTCTACCAAGCCTCATCTTCCTCAGAGGGAAAGGGTGCTCTAGACAGAAACCCTGTGTCATTTCTTCCTGGGAAATGGTCACCTTTTATTACTGCTCAGCATAAAGCTGACTGTGAGAGAGGTGTCACATGGTGATTGTTTTAGATGTTTCTAGAGGAGTCTTGATAGACTTGCCAATCTCTGTAACAAATCCAGCTGGAATTTTAATAAGGATTACATTAAATATATTGATTATTTTTTTAAGGATTGTTGTATCACAATATAAAGTCTTCTATACATGAGCATGGGCCTTTCCATTTATTTACATTTTAATTTCTTTCAACAATGTTTTCTAGTTTTCAGTATAAAATTTTGCACATCTTTTGTTAAATTGATGCCTATGTCTTGATTCCATTCTAAATGAAATTACTCTCTCTCCTAATTTCATTTTTCTTTTTCTTTTTTTTTTTTTTTTTTTTTTTGTACTGGGAATTGGACCAGAGTCTTGTGCATGCCAGGAGAGCACTCTCCTCTGAGCTCTGTCCCCAGCCCCTTCACTTCACATTCCAAGTGGGCACAGCTGGCATGAATAAATGCTGGTTTTACTGTTGAAGAAAACAGCTACTCTGGAGGTAAGAGTGCCCATCCCCATTCCTGCTGATGTAGGACTTCTTTACAGAGAGAATGCAGCCCACAAATCTGGCCAAACCCTAGGAGTGGGGCTTCTCTGGGGAATTTGCAGGGGTGTCCAGTAGAGGTGGTTTTCTGTGGTATGGGTTTACAGAGAACCATTTCCCAGGGTTTCTTTTCTGTTCAATGAGGGAAGAATAGATGAGGGACAGAGGAAAAACTGCCTGAAAAAGTCCATGAATCTTCCAAATCTGATGGCTTCGCTGGAGGAGATAAGCACTTTCCTGGGAAGTCCCTGCAGGGGCACAGGTGAGGATGGGGCGTGACTCGGTCCCTCAGCATGCTTGCAACCAGCTCACTGTGTACTTCCAGGTGAGCTCTGTATGCCACACGTGCATGCATATCTACAAACCCAGATGTCCATGTGATCATGCCTGACATCACTCTCCCCTTCTGTGTTAAACATTCTCATTGGTCCAGAGGACTTGATTTCACTCCTCCTTATGGCTTCACCCTGTTGCATGAACCTTCCTCCCTGAACTTTATGGGAAATTGAAGGTCCAGGAGATGGCAATCTTCTATGAGGAGGAAGGGCTCACAGCAGTGGGAACAGGTGTGGAGACCCTAGAGGCAGGAAAGGCTGGGTGCTTGCCAGGATTGAGGATGCTGACCCGAGCTCAAGACAGAGTCATGTAAGTTATGTCAGGAAGGTGGGAGCTCAAGTATGCAGGTTCCTCAGGGTGCTGAGAGGGCTCGGGATGCTCCTTTAGGATCAGTGAGAAGGTACTCAAGTTTCTTTTACAATTGTATGCATTTGAAATAGAAAATGTTTTGATAAACATAACAAAATGTCAATGCCATCAAACAAACTAAAATATGCATACAACACATCATTACCATTTTACTGTTTTCTTGGGAAGGGCACCTCAAGTCAACTGTCCCTGAAAATCTCCACTCTGCACCATAGAACTTCTAACTACTGTCACTATGCAGTGCCCTGGACCTGTAGACGCACCCATTCTGTGTAGACACACCTGTGGTACCTTTGCCACCTCCTCCCCTCCCCCTCCCCTGGTAGTCACCTTGCTCCTCCGTTTCTGCATAGTCAGCTGTTCATAGACTCCACATGTAAGCGAGATCATGTAGTATTTTGCTTTTCTGAATCTGGCTCATTTTACTGAAGACTTCCAGGCAAAAGAGAAGGATGCTCTGATTCCTGTTAAAAACAAATAAATCAGCAACAGAGCAGGTGGCAGGGAAGTGGCTGGAGACCTGGGTGTGGCTTCAGTAATCATGCTGGTGAGCTGGGGCTGCTGTTCCTAGCAGGAGACAGCAGACATTCCAACAGAGGAAGACCCCTCTCTAGGCAAGCCCCCATGTGCTGGCTCAGGTCTCAGCACCCTGGTTTGCAGGATGGTGTCTGCAGGTTGGGATGCCCCATGCATTAGGAACAAGGCACACTGCTACTGGGTTTCCCTTTCTAGCATGCAGGATGCATGTGGCCCTGGGAAGAAGCTGTTCCTGCTGCATATTTAAAGTCTCGTCTCAGACTTTTGGCAGCTGTTGTGACATATTGTTTGTCATTGTGTATCTTAAGAAAAACACTCCTTGTGACAGCCAGCAGTCTGTTGAAACAGCTGCCAAAACCTGGAGGCTAGTTTCCCTTGCTGAGGAGGAGAGTGCTCCTGCGCTTGCCCCTGGCTCCAGGACATAGGAGTGAGGCTGCTCAGAGTCTTCTAACCACAGAAGCAGGTCCCCAAACTGGATCTCCACTTAGCAAACCCTTTCAAACAGAGCAGAGCTCCATATCCACAGAGGAACTGCAGGTGGAAGAGGCAGTGACAGCGAATGCATATGTCCTGTTGCAGCAGGCTGGGAGAACACCAGGGACAGAGCTTAGACTTCCCAGAGTACTTCAGGACCACATACTTAGGCATCCCCAAATGGCTTCCATTCTCTCACATCCAACTCTTATTTAAACTGCTTGAAATATACAAATCACCCCGGCCTTTAGTGGACTCCATTTTTAATGAATAATAAGGATCCTTCTTTACAGTCTGTCAAGTGTTAGAGGTTTGCAGGAGAACCGACCCTGCAAACTGCTAGTTTAGAGTGGTAGCTTTTAGCTTTTAGCTTCGTTGAACTGCAGCACCAAGGCAGGTGTTTTGGCTTGGAATGCAGGATCCTGGGCCACCAGCATCTAGAGAATGATTTGGGGTCTGTGTGTGTCATTGGACTCAGTGGTAGTGTTGGAGTTCCCAGATGATTGTCCCATGGACCCCAGAACATGCCCGAGGGCCCTGGCAACTCACAGCATTATTTGGTACGCAGTCTTCACTTTGCTTCCCTGTGGCTTGGAGGGAGCTCTAGCTAGACTATGGAGACAAGAAGCAAGTCCCCGTCTACAGCCTCCAATTCCACACCTTTCCCTGAATGCCATTCCGTGTCTTGTTCTCTTTGTCTTCCAGCAACCTGACTTCTTTTCCTCAGAGTCTCCATAACAGTTCTTGTCCCTTTACGCTATGTATGAACACCCAAGTGTTCGGGTTTGGATATGAGGTGTCCCCAGAAAGCCTTGTATGACACAACGCAGGAATGTCCAGAGGTGGACTGATTGTGAGAGCAGTAACCTAATCAGCAGATAAATTCATTTGAAGAATTAAACATTTGAAAGGACTGGGTAGTAACGGGGGAGCAGGTTGGATATGACTGGAAGAAGGAAGTGGGTCACTAGGGTATCCTTGTTTTGTCCCCATTGCCTGCCTCTCTCTTGTCGCCTTGGCCACCAAGAACTGAGCAGCTCTCTTCACCACACCTTTCCGCCATGATGTTCTGCCTCACCTCAGAATTAGAGCCATGGCGTTAGCCAACCATGGACTGAGACATTTGTAACCATGAGCCCAAAATAAACATTTTCTTCTGCAAATTGTTCTTGTTAGGTATTGTGGTCACAGAGGCCAAAAAGCTGACTAACAACAAGCTCATTTAAAGTACCATGTTACAGAATAATCTACACAAATTTCTTCCCAGATACAAAGAAGGAAAATAATGACCGTAACCTTAGCACTGCACAGAGGCCAGAGTCTGCCCATGGGTAGCTCCCCGGGCAGGAGGAGGATTTTGCTGGAGTAAACCAGGCTCAGTAAAAAGGCAACTCAAGGCCACGGGGTCCAGACTCCAGCCAAAGGTGTCAGCCCCACTCCCACCAGTGAGCTGCAGCTCTGTGTGTGTCTGGACCTGCTGGGCTGCCAGGCACACTTGGGGATTTGGGTGTAGCACAAGGAACCACATCTGAATGGCCCCTTTACATCACGGAGCCTATAGTTTGAGATCTCAGTAGTTCACCGTTACAGCAGATGTCAGTCCAGCATCCTGTTCAGCCAGATCAGCAGTTTATGACACCTTTCAGTCAGACAGAGGTATCTCTAGAAAGGGTCCCTTTTCTCATGTGCATAGAAGAGCTGTCGCTGTCCATACTGGCACCAAACTGGGGGTGGAACTTTCTCTGGATTAGCCCAGAGTAGCAATTCATGCAGTGACAGCACCCATCTGCTGAAGGCCTACTGGGTGCCAGCAACTCTGCAGAGCTCTCTGGAGACAAGGAGAACAAAGCAATGAAGCATGCAGTCCCTGAACTCCCCAGGGACAGGGAGACCAGATAATAATGGCCACCAGATAACACCTGGTCACCATGGGCCACAGGAGGTGAAGGAGAGTTCCATGTGTACATAGGTGGAGGGGCTGAGCGCTGTGGGAGGCCTCTGAGGCAAAGAGAGGAGCGTGGTGGGAAGTCCTCTGGCTACACAAGCTGCTTGTTAGGAATCTGAGCTGACTTTCAGCTTCTCAGACTTGAATCTGTGGCTGAAACCAGTGATGCAGCATTTTGGCTGAGGAGAGAGGATGTTGTGCTTGCCCTCTCCCTGCTGCTCCAGGTGATGATCAGGCTCTTGAGATGCACCCTGATAAAGCTAGGGTGACATGCCCATCCATCACTGAACCTGTGTTCTTTTAGCTTTACAGAAAGAGGAAAAATCCCAAGAGATCACTAAAGCCCTTTGGAGAAGGTACCATGGAGAAATGGTGACCAGGAAGAGAAAGGCAGAGTCGTGCCATCGCCTCTGCCTCCAGCCCGGAATCCACTTTGCTTGAGTGGCATTATGGTTCAGGAGGCAGGGGACAGGGCAGATTCCCTCCTAGAGCTTAGGGATCTCTAACAGGAATGTCCTGGGGCAGGTCCTCAGAGGGAATCAAAGAGACCAGGACAAGGCAGACACTGAGAATCCAGACAGGTCATTGATAGCAGACCCTGGTATAGGTGTCCCGCAGTCCTGTTCCAGCCCGGGACTCTGGCTCATGGGGTGACCAGGTTTGATTCATGGACTGGACAGTTATCAGATGATTGAGACTGCCTGTGACCAGTGTCCAGTGACCTCTTCTTCCTCTTCTTTGTGAGCAGTTTGGGGAGGGGTTTTCCTTCCCGGGACAGATGATTGCATGTACTGTCTGAAGTCTGTTTCTCACAGACACGTACACATGGACACACATCCCCTGACCCTCCTGTGCCTGCCCAGGAAAACATCTCATCTCTGGAGTTGGCATCAGAAGCTGTCAGAATTTCTTGGATCTTTCAGGTAACCTGAGGTGTGCCTTTTGATCTCTCCTTTGGCTGTGCTCTGCCATCTGTACCTCAGTGGCCATCCCTGTACCATCTTCCCGTCAAGAGAGGTAATAGGTGAACCCAGAACTTAAAAATCCATGTTTTCTGTATAAAGTCTGTGATGTGACAGAACTAGACAGTCTGGCCTGAGGCAGATCAGACATTTGGAAGATAAACAAGATTTAAGAGGAAGGTTTTACAGGGGTATGTCATCAAGCTCTTTGAGTCTGGCCAGGGTGAGAATGGGCATTGGCAGGTGGGGGATTCTGGTCTACAGGAGCCACTGAGATCTCATGGGCAATTGTGAGAGACTTGGGGAGGCAGACATTTGTGACATGGGAAAAGGAAGATGCAAATACCACTCAACAGCTAGGGTCTGACACTCACAATACAGATGGAAGCCTTTCATTCAACACAGTGCCTGGGAAATGTCAGAAGGGTTGTGCTGTTCTTTTAATTTTCAAATTTATTTAGTTATTTACCCACTCACTTATTTTAGTAGCATATAAATCCATTCCACCTTTCAGGGAGGTTGAAAGGAGGAAGAAAGCTTTAGTTATCCTTACAAAAAATGGGTCATTAGAAAAGCATCATTATGTCCAAAGGACTTTGCTGTTAGAAAAACCTGGCCTAAAGATGAAGGTATTATAGGCAGAAAATAAGCAATCCATTAATTACTTCATCCACTGATTTATCCACTTGAAAATTTATTCACTCATCAACCTATTCATCTCTGTATCCATTCATCCACCTATCTGTTCAGCCACTCATCCATCCACCCATCCATCCATTCACCCACCCATCTATTCATCTATCTACCCATCCACCCATCCATCCATCCATCAATCCATCCACCTACCACCCACCCATCCACCCATCCTTCCATTTACCAATCCATCCATCCATCCACGCATCATCAATGCATCCATCCCCATCCATCTACCCATCTATCCATCCACCCACCCATCCATATGCCCACCCATCCATCCATCCATCTACACATCCATCCATCCATCCATCCATCCATCTACCCATCCATCCATCCATCCATCCTCCCATCCATCTTCCCTTCCATTCATCTCTCCATGCAAGCATCTGTCTTTCAGGTTTGAACTGCTGGTCTCAGCTAAGCACTACTGTGAGAGAAGAAGACACAACAGTTAAGCAAGAGAAGTTTGTACCCTCTTGTGCCTGCACTAGAGAAGGCTGTAGAAAGTGAGTAAGGTTCCACATAAACAAAATATTTCACATAGTGATAAAACAATCTGATGAAAAAGAGAGAATAATGGCTTGCCACATGAGGTTAGATAGGTGGTCATGCATAGCCCCTCTGAAAGTTGAGTAAATCAAGACCCAAATGAGAAAAATGCAGCCACACCATAACCTGCAATCTGGAGAGTGTTCAGGCTATGCACACAGCCAGGGCAGACATCCTGCAGTGCTCACAGTCCTGGGGTGGGGTCGGGGGCAGGCCCACATGGCTTGGGCCCAGGCAGGAGTGCAGTATGCAGGCAATGAGGTGAGCAGGGGAAGATAGTGGCCCATCCTGTGGGCAGTGACCATGAACCTGTGTTCACTCACCAAAAGGAGCTTCCAGGCGGTGGCTCTGTGGAGTGCTCAAAGATTCCTTCTGTTTCTTGTGGAAAAATCTGTGGCCCCATAGGGAATGCAGTGTGCAGGAGGTATGGCTGTGAGTGTGGCTGTCACTGGCTAGGCCTGCAGCAGGCATGCTGGGGCTGGATCACCGGGTGAGATCACATTCCAGCTGCAAATACACACCATTCTTATAAAAAACTGAGATGTTTCCACTTCCCGTCCACTCTGGCTGAGACCAGGGGCACAGGCAGGTCTCTGTTGATAATCAGGACCACAAACATTCCAGAGCCCTGGGTGTGCCCACCCCCAGAGAAGGTGTCAGCTTAGAAACTCAGGTGCTGGACAATGGGGGCAGGAGCACAGGGCACCTCCTTGAAGCTCTGAAGTTGTTATTTCAGATGCTGTGCAAGGAAGTCCTGCCCAGATGTGCCCCACCATGGCAGCTGTGATGGGTGAGGACATGTGGGCTCATCCTGAGCAGATCCAAGGATTAGCAAGTGAGAGGGTGTTTGGCAAGAAGAACGACAGGACAGAGAGGCCCGTGTATTTGTAGAAGGGTCCTTTATTGCAGTAGAGGGTGAGTGCTCCAGGAAGAAGAGACAGTGGGTGACTCGGGTACTCAGGACTTGCCGGGATCACTCTTAATACACTGTGTGACTTTGTCTAAGCCAGGGAGCCTCTTTGAACCTTGGTGTCTTCATCTGGTAAATGACAGTAAGCCTTCCCTGCCTGCCTCCCAGGGTTGTTATGGTTCCCATAGGTGGGAGATGTGCTATATTGGGAGAAGGAGGCAGATTCTTACAGGACCTGGGAGGTTGGCAGCAGCACACTTATGTCAAAATTAGTCATAGCCACCGGTGCATGGAAGTGGCTGGTTTGAAGCCACAGAATATCCAGGGAAGTGTTCCTGCCTGAAAATGAAACCGAGTTTCTAAATGAAGCGCCCATGTAAATTAGGCAGCAGCTGAACAGCTGCCAGTGCTTATTGAAGGTTTCCTTGCGTCTCCTGCAAATTGCACAAGAGGCTGATGCGTTCAGTTTCTTTGACACTTAGAGTCATTGACGGTGCAGAGCTGGGAGGAAGCTCTGGGTGATTCCAGCCCTGACACCGTCTGGCTCTCTGTCCTTAGGTATGAGACTCAGCAGCTCTGATTTTTGGCATTGTCACATGTGAAATGTAGCTGTGGGCTATATGATAGAATCAGAGACACAGGGAGGTGGGGTCCCTGGGAGGCCTGTGAGTAGGAGAGGATATTTGAGTGGCAGGGTTTGGGACACTCATCCTGATGGGGTCACTTATGTCTCATGCCAGTCTTGAACAGATCCAAGGGCTGGGAACATCCCAGGGATCGATTGTTTTGGGTTGGCCCCATACTGAACCTGGGGCACTGGTCAGCGGTTGGCAAGTCTTCAGGCTGAAGGACTCAGACAGACAGGCTTATGTGGCCTGTTCATGTTCATCTGGGTGTGGACAGTCTCCCTATGCTGAAATAATGACACCCTGCTTTCTTGCTGTTTTGGGGGTTTATGACCTTCAAAATCTAGTTCCAGCTTCTATGTGACAAATGAATGTCTAGATTGGACCTTGTGAGGGCCTGATAGAGCCCAGGTCCATGCAGTCTGAGGAGTGGAGACAATTCCTTGGTCTCTTTTCTGGAGTCCTCACTTGGTCTCCTCAGCACAGGAAACAGCTCCTGCAGGTGAAGTGCCGCAGGGCCAGGCACCTTTCCTTCCTGCCTCACAGCAGGTGAGCTGCACCCAGATGCCCCCGCTGCCTCTGAGTCTCCCCTGCAAATAGAATCTTGAGTTTATGTCTGTGAGCTTCAATTTCTCATATTAGGGAAAAATAAAACCCCATAATATGTATTTTAAATGGAATTAATGGACAAGATATTGCCAAATGGAATTTGCTGACCTGCTGCCATTTAACCACAGATATTCTTGTTTTCCTTCTCCCTAGAGTTCAGCAGAGTTAATATTGCTGTTATTGAATGTCATCTAGTAATCCTCTGGATATGGTGCTGAGAGGTGTCATCAGAAAGGGGACCCCAACTGGAGATTCTTTTTCTGTCTGAGTCCCACAGGTGGCATGCATCCAAGCAGGGCGTTGACTGGCAGCCTGTGAGAAAAGAGGGTCACTGCCGGAAATGCCAGGCGGGCCCCATCACTGGGACAGGTCGTTAGAGAGCAAAGTTGACCCCTTAAGAGAGCCCTGAACAAAGCTACAGCATTTCAACTAGGCAGAGTAGAGACATTTTTGAGACTGCTGTGCAGCCTCAGAGGTCTGCATGTTTTGGAATTGCTAAGAGTAAATTTTAAATGATTTCCCAAAACTGATGAGCATGTGGGCTGATGGCTGCATTGCTCCACTGTTTATCATTCCACAGTATCAACCCACATCCGCATGTTTCATTCTGTTCCATGAACATCTACAATTATTATTTGTCAATGAAAACTTTAAAAAGTAAAAACAGGTGACCTGAGCATGAATGCCATTGGATATCAGGAGGCACAGAGGATGGGGACGCCCTGCAGTGCAGGAACTCATCATAAAACAAGTAAGCAAACTGTTTCTCCAAACTAGTGACGTCTTTATTAAAGGGTGGGTGAGGTTAAAGCTGTTCTTAATAAAGCTGGGGCCATGGAATTTGTTCTGTGTTTTCCTGCCAAGCTGAGAGTCAGGGCTGGCCCTCCTCGCCTTGCTTTATGAGCAGGGGAGGACAGTCCACCTGTGTGGACAATGGTGATAAAACAAGAGAGTTGAATGTCTCACATTGTGAAGGAAACACCGTTGAAGCCACCAGTTTCATTTGTGGGTCCTGAAATGCTCCATGCATGTCAGGATGCAGAGTTATTACTTGCTAAGTTTTTATAATAACTGAACAAAGCACCTAGGTCATTTTTAAGCTGAATGGCTGGGTTTATCAGTGGATGAATCTTTTGAGTCCTTCCTAAGACCTCATGGTGCCTCCTTTACAAGACACAGCATGAGGCAGGAGCTAGAGAAAGGACAATTCCATCAGAGGCTCTTTCTGAGCCTTGCTGAGCCTCCCCAGCCTTCTCTGACACGAGTAGTCACACAAGTAGGTAGGGGAAACCAGAAAAGCATCATCTCTTTTATTCTGTCATATTGATCCATAAATAAATTAACCCTGTTTTAATTATGTTCACACTTCTATGGAAATTTTATCCCAAAGAAGTCCTGCTGAGGTGAGCTCTAGTTCCTGGGGCTTGGGGTGGACCATTGCAGGCCCAGTTCAAAGGACCCAGGGAGGCCTCCAAATGTCTCTTTCCCCACTGGTGTCCCCCCATTCCTTGTCCCCTAAACACACCCATGCTTGGCAAGACCACCCAGGTCAACTGAGGGGAGCTCCTGATAGTGTGGAGCTTGCTAATTATCTCACACACCCTCCTGATTGAGGCCTGCGAAATTAAATCACACTCTCCTGTGCACATGGGAGCTCTCAGTGCTGCAGAGGCAGCCATGTGAGCTGTTGTGTAGGCCCCTGGCATGGGCACATCCCTGTGGAGTGATGGCCCTAGTTGGGGCCTGATGAGCACTGCCTGGAGGGGTGAGAGAAGGAGTGGGGCTGAGGCCAGCAGCTCCTGTGAGGCCCAGTGGTTCTGCCTTAGCTGCCTGGGCTTCAGCCCACACAGCCATGGGGTGGACAGTCAGACTGCTGCAGTTTTTATCTGTTATGTTTTTTTGTTTATTTGATTGTGAAATCTACTTTCTTAACTAATTTTAAGTGCCATTGACTATAATGTCCACATTTTACCACAGGTTCCAGAGTTTTCTTCCCTTGCTTGGCTGAAACTTTCCACCACCTGATTCTGAAGTCCCCTCCTCCCCCTTGGGCCCTGGTAGCCAGCATTCCAGCCTCTGTTTCCACGACTGATGCTTTACTCAGCTCACTTAAGTGAGTTGTGCAGGATCTGCATGTCTCCGACTAGACTGATAGTAAGATGTCCTTGAGGTTTATCTCCCTGTTGTGCATGGAAGAATTGTTCCCTTTTTTAAGACTGGCTAGTACTGTATGGTATGCATGTACCACATTTTCTTTATTATTCATCTGCAAGGGATACCAGGTTGTCTCCATCTTTTGACTACAGTGGACAGCAAGGAACCTGGAAGCTTAGCCATCTCTTTGTATCCTTATCTCAGTTCTTTGGAAGAAATAACCCAAAAGTGACATTGTTGGCTTATTTTCTGGCTCTCTTGAGTTTTCAGGAGAGCTCCGATGCTGTTTCCTGCAGCGGCTCACCATCCTGTAGTCTACTGACAGTGTGCAAGGGTTCCATTTTCCCCACATCTTTAGAAAATTGCGACGCCATATATAAACCTGCAAAGGCCCCTAGCATCTCTCAACCTGTGCCCTCGTAGTCTAGAAAACCCTTTATATTTTTATTATTTATTTCTTTATTTGATTTTTTTTTTTTAACCCGGGATTGAACACAGGGGCACTGGACCACTGAGCCACATATCCAGCTCTATTTTGTATTATATTTAGAGACAGGGTCTCACTGAGTTTCTAAGTGCCAAATCATTGCTGAGGCTTGCTTTGAACTCATTCCTCCTGTCTCAGCCTCCCCAGCCGCTGGGATTACAGGCGTGTGGGATGGCACCAAGCCCTTTATATTTACATTTATATATATATATATATATATATATATATATATATATATATATATATATATATATAAAATATCCCTTTCTGTTTTTGCTGTGCATTTTCTTCATCATTCAGGACACTGAACATCTTCCCATGTCTTCCTTAGAGATGTGTCTACTCAGGTCTTTTGCCTCATTCCTAAGTCACTAGTTTTTCTTGCTACTGAGAACCAGTCTGAGCTGCTCGCCAAGGATCTCATTGTCAGTGAGGTCACCAGAGCTTCATGACAACCGTACAGGAAGGTTAATTCATATTCCAGAGTCACCGTTGCTGCCTTGGATTCCAACCATCTTAAAGATTTCCTCCAGAGTGTTTACCTCAGCTGTGCTGGTTGATCCGGGCTGAGTTGTAATTAAACAGCAGTGCTTTGCTTGCTAGCTCTGCAGCCACTTGATGTTACATTAA